TCGGTCGTGTTGGCGGGTGTCAGTTATGTTTTCTATCAACGAGTCGGTTGCCACGGTCCATCGTGATTGATGAGGTTCTACATCACTGGACAACGTGATTGATTTGTGGATTACCTCGATCAACATTTTTTTTCCAAATAAATACCTATTTTTTACAGTGTTGTGTGTGTATTTACTATTTTACTGTATTTGGTGAATGAGTAGGGGGTAACAACTACCCCTTACTCATTCACAAGGGGGGGTGGCATCTGAGTGCCCCTTTTATGAAAGGGGCACCAAGATTCCTAAAAGTCTACCTGCCCGCAGGCCCCCACAACCACCAGACCAGGGTTGTGGGGACCCCATCCTTTTTTATTTACATTGGGGCCCCCCTAAAATTCCTACCAGACCTAAAATGGTCTGGTATGAATTCAGGAGGGGTATCTACGTTAACATTTCACATCATAAATTAATTCAGAAATGACACTCTGAAAAAAACTTGTATGCATCCGACATGTTTGTTATTGGAAAATTTGGATACGTTCAGATTTGTTATTTTTCGTTTCGGAAGTTCGGATGCATTCAAATGTTAGAATTTCAGAAAATTCCTCCGAATTTCAATGTGGAACACAAGAATCACACATGTCTAGTTTTTACCATTTATAAGTTATAAATGGCATCGTCTGGGTCAACTGGTGGTTAGGGTGGAACTTTACCTAAAAAACATTGCTACCAAAACAGCCAGTCAAGAAGCTTTCATTGCAGAAGAGACATACTATGTGTGTTCTGCAATGAAAGCTTCTTGCCTGGCTGTTCACAAACTTCTTTTGAATAGAATGCCCAGTTCAGTGTACTTTTTTGGCATTCTTTAGTGCCAGGATGAATTAACTCCCTTTCATGTTTGTGAATTACACTATACCCATCCAGCCAACTAAGATGGCTGATAATGCCAAACCTGAAAGAACACTGGGTGTAGATTTTGGCACTGACAAATGAGCTTTCGGATGTTGCTTTGCTGGATGGGAGGTGAGTACAGTGGACTTCAGTTATTCTTTAGGAGTTCTGAGCATATATTCATTTTTTCTTATAGAAATGTGATAGACATATGTCTTTCTTTAACCATGCTTACACCTCCTGCAATGACATTGTCCTCAGTATGAGCCAAGTCTTTTAAAACTTCTTGTATTTTCTTCCATGGGACCATTCTCTGTAATTTGTATGTACAATGTAAAAAGTGTTTTTAAGTGTGAAATACACATGTGCCTTTAGCCCTAGGGTGATGTGACCACATGACTAATGCTGACAAAAATAAGATGCACAGGTGTCACTGGGCCTGGGTACCGGGCACACGTACATCACATCTTCACCCTGGTACTTAAAGTCTTGGGCGTGTACTTACCCTGTCCCACCTACTGCTGAAGAAAATCTCACATTACTGAACAAGGTATTCCTGCATTGGCGTGTAGGCAGAGAGCTGGACAAACACTATACCTACCAACAGTGTCATCTTTCTCTCCAATTAGTGAGGGATGCATCATGACAAATATGGTGTTCCTCTACCCACCTGCAAATCATTGTAAAGCTTCTGCTCCAGATCTGTATAAGTGCTACCACTAGTATAGCCCCAGGTCTGCAGGGGATTAAAAATGCTTATAGTATGACTTCTGTGACTGTCTTTGAATGTTATTTACCACATTACTTGTAATTCTATTACTGATGGATTTCTGTGTGGCTTTACTTCTCTAAATGATGGTGTTCCGTGTGGCTTTTCTTCTGTGACAGATGGCATTCTGTGTTTATTTACCCCCTTTACTTATGTTGATCTTTCGGACATTAGCACTGTGTCTGATGACATTCTGTGTGTCCTTAGTCTGTGATTGATGGCATTCTGAGCGGCTTTACCCCTGTGAGTGAAGGGCCTTTGCATGCCTTTACCCATGTCACTAATGGTTGTCTCTATGGCTCTATCCCTGTGGCTGGTGGCATTCTGTGTGACCTTATTCCTGTAACTAAAGGCATTATGTCTATCTTTATGCCTGTGAAAGATGGTGTTCTGTGTAGCCTTTAATATGTAACCAATAACATTCCCTGTGACTTTTCCCCTGTGACAGATGACATGTTGACTGATTCAGTTAAACCTGGTACTCATAGACTGCATTGTCTGCCACAATACTTACCTTTATTAGGTGCCCAGGAGTGTTTCAGGTATTTTCTTAGCAACACCTATGTCATAAAGAGAGGGGGAAAGTAAGGCAAAGTAGTTTATTGGTTGCATCTTCATATATGAATATCTTTAAAATTACAGTGTTTCCCCGAAAATAAGACAGTGTCTTATATATTTTTTTCCACGAAAAAAGACACTAGGTCTTATTTTCAGGGGATGTCTTATGTGTACTTGGCTGCAGCTGTCCGCTCGTGCATGTGTGGATGGGCGTGCGTGCGGGAGGGAGGGAGCTGCGGCCACTCTCAGCTCTAATGCAAAACTGTAGCACAGTTTTTGTTCAGGTGCAAGTTCTTCCATAAGATCTATTACTATTGTTCTTTTTTATTTAAATAAGTATTCCCTGTAGTAAAGCTGCACATTACTGCAAACATCTCATTTAATTGATGGCAGCAAACTCTCCTGAGATTACATAAAGTATATATACAGACAGGACAATATTCATTCTGAGGCCTTTAAACTAAATCCACTATTCATATTTTCATTGATTTCTGGAATGTTTTATCATACAGGTTAGTAAATTAAATATTGTACGAGACATGTGCAACAGGGACCCACATGTGCCACAGGGACCCACTGTGGTCTTCTTCCTAATTTAAGCATATGGTGAAATGATCATTACTACATCATTAGATGTCCTTACTGTAAAAACATTTATTTCAACTGAGAACATTGCTTGCATTTATGAGTGCACGGATGGTGATTATTTGTTCCCTTTTGGTCTGTTAAATATACCATTGAAAGTATTATGTTAAATTTGTGCAATAATGGCAAAAATACTTTTTGATCTTGTTCAGAACTATTGTGCGCCTCCTCCCACTTTCCATGCCTGAGTAGCCCTCCGAAGTTTTTATGTTGGGACTACAGATCAATTAGTGTTTACATTGTGGAGAAGGAACATGCTTAGGTAGTTTTTAAAGGGCAGTCTAAGAGGTAAAACATGAGGAATTTGCACATTTGGAAATGTAATATATCTATTTTTTCTATTTTGCTGCACCATACACCTTAACCTTCCTGGCCAGGCCATTTTTCAGTATTCAGCACTACGGTACTTTAACTGACGTTTATTGAGTCATGCAACTCTGTACTGAAATTAATTTTATACAATTTTTGGGGACAGAACCAGTGGGGCTTATATTTACTATATAACAAAAAAGTATCCTAAATTTTGAAAAAAAAAAAACAGTTTCCCTATGAAATGTTATGAAACATTTACTATCACCCCCAATTTTTTTGTAAAATATAAAAGACGGGTCATGTCAGATAAATAGACACCAAACATGTCAAACTCTAAAATGCGCCTGCAAAATCACTGAAAACGACCACACCCAAAATTGGCCATAGGCGGTGCTTTAAAAGATTTCACTGCTCATCAGTTTAATGTTATAAGTAATTAATGGTCCTAAAATTATTGCTCTTATTCTGACGTTCGCGGTGACAATAGGCGGAATCATCGTTTTCGCGCGTTGGTGCACCCGACGCATGTTTGCGTGTGTATGTGGGGGGGGGGGGGCTTTAAAAAATGTTTTGTGTTATTTTACATTTTTTTTATTTGTGACTATTTTTTTAGCTTCTTCATTTTTTTATACTTTCATTTTTTTTAAACTTTTTTTATACCTAACTTTATTGCTATCACATAGGGGACTAAGAAATCCCCTATGTGATAGCCAATTCACATAACAGGTCCTGTTTATGGAGACATCAGGGGTCTCCAAGACCCCTAACGTCACCATGGGACCCCCAGAGAAGCTGATGAAGCAGAGATCTGCTTTATCAGCTTCTCACCGGCATCTGTAACCAGAGAGTGACACTGCATGCAGGAAGTGATGTAATACACATCACTTCCTGCATTCGGGGACCAGAGAGGAGATCAAAAGGGAGAATGCATCACCATGCCAGTCCTAGCCGCACCAGGCACAGCAGATCTCGGGACCGGAAGCGGCGGCGACAGAGGTACGGGGGGGACAAGCCCGCAACCTACTACAATCGATCGGGCATCTCTAAACAGCCATTGCTGGCTGTTTTCATGGCTGACAGTTCCCCCACTCGTAAATCTTGCGAGACCTCAGAGAAAGGCTTTTTTCTCCCCTGTGCTAGTCACATGTGCTAGAGTTCCAGGAAGTAAAGGGAGATATATTAATCTGTCCTTAGTAAAAAAATGTCCACTGTGAAAAGAATGGGGAGGAAAAGATGAATAAGGTAGGCAAAGAATAAAATTCCTGTAATTATCTTTAAGTGTCTGTTGTAGATGGTCATTACTAAACATGTCTAAAGGTTTATTTGTTGTCATTTAAAAGATATTGGTTGGAGGAAGAGAGGAGAAGGTGGGGATGTAACTTCATCTCTCCTCTCCCAATCACAGAATGCCCTGTATTCTTTGAAAAAAAAATGGAAGGCATTTTGTGAATGCCTTCCAGGAGGAGTGAGTGCTGTGATCAAAACACGTCACTGCTCGAGTCACATCTCTCACTTCCTTCAGTGCCTGGAAGCTTGGTATTATGTGCAGGAGATGGCAAGCTGCAAAGTAAGTTTTTTATATACTTTGCAGAGGCCCTTCAAACATAACACACAACTTTTTAATGGCCATATGTAATTATTAAATGTATAACTTCTTCAATATACTTATCTAGATCATCGCTGAAACATATTTTTAACTCTGAAAAAGCTACTTTTATCTTAACAGTTTAGTGCACTATTTTAGAATATAATTTTAACATTATTATTGATTGAAGAAAAATCAACCACAAAATCAAATAACAACAAGAAAATCTAAACTTTGTGATTCTTTTTTTAGTATAAAATGATTGGCACAAATGAAACTTCAGTTACTGAATTTATTCTTTTAGGCTTTTCAAGTGTTAAAAATATAAAGCTACTATTGTTCGGAGTATTTTTGTTTATTTATATTATCACGGTCACTGGAAATATTGTTATTATTACCATAGTTTATGTTGACCTACAGTTGCATACACCTATGTATTTCTATTTGGGTAACTTGTCGCTTTTGGAGATTTTGTATACCACTAATATTATCCCTAGGATGTTATTTAACATCATCACAGAGAATCATATTGTGCCTTTTTTAGAATGCATTGCCCAGTTGTATTTTTTTGGTTCACTGGGTTCAACAGAATGCTTTCTTTTGGGAGTAATGGCCTATGACAGATATGTAGCTATTTGTAGGCCACTACATTATGCAACAATAATAAGTACTAGAACAAGTTTACTTATGGCACTTTGTTCTTGGTGTACAGGATTTATTGCTACTTTTGGGGCAATTATATTAGTCTCACAGTTGCAGTTTTGTGGACCTAATACAATTAATCATTTTTTCTGTGATCTTCATCCAGTCCTGCAGTTATCTTGCAAAAATGCACATACAATGGACACAGTAGCTTGGACATTAGCTTCTACAATTCTTCTGGGATCATGCCTTCTCACTCTTGCATCATACGTTCGGATCATGATGACCATAATAGGAGTCCCATCTAACAGTCGACAGAAAGCATTCTCAACCTGCACAGCACATCTTACTGTGGTTGTCATATTCTATGGCGCTATGATTTCCATGTATGTCAGTCCAAAGGCTCTAAACAGTGTTGAATTCAATAGGTTTTCATCCCTTCTTTACACAGTAGTTACCCCATTTTTGAATCCTTTTATCTATACTTTAAGGAACCAAGAAGTTAAGCAAGCAGTTACTAAAGCAGTTATAAGACTCTGCGGACATTAAATATACTAAGCTGAATCACAAAAATATCATGCTTTAACATGGTAATGTAATTTCAAAAGTAATTTTCAATATTTTAAATCTGCTGCTTTCATTAAAATAAAATCCTGGTGATTGTATCATGGAGGTCCTTGTTTGGACAGTTTCTGTTATAGAGTGATTACATTCTTCTTCTGCCTCCTAATTATGCTCTTGCATTGTCACCCTGTCACACGGGCTTCTGATGCAGACTACAAGTGGCCATTTCAACAGATATTTTTGCAGACATGGTCCCCTATTGTGACCATCAGGAAATGCCATTCAGCCATCCATAGACAGGAAATGGCTGTTAAGAGGTTTTAGGAGAGGAACAGCACTGAGATGCAACAATGACAAAAAGGTGAAAACAAGTATTTTATACAAAACATAGCAGTTGTTTACAATACACATTGCTAAATGCTAAACTAAATGTCATTCAGGGGTTCTATTTGAATTTAAAATGGATGTTGTCTTGCAGACCTGGAACAATTGCTGGCGGATGAACATGGCACCAGAGAGAGATACACTGTCACCTGGTCCGTATGGTTGGCTTTCCGGGCCCAGATGCATTTTCGGCTGAGGTCCTTCCCTAGGCATTCTGGGTTTCTCCAAGGGGCCCATTGCACTCTGACGGGGGTTGGGGGGGGGGGGGGCGTAGACGGGGCTCGCCTGGCCCTGGTCCCTGGGTTCCTCTCTGAACTGACTTCTGTCTGAACTCAGCTGCTCCTCCTCACCTTCCCTTCTCTTCACCTAGCTTTCCTGTTCCTTTTCCTCCCTTCCTCTGGTCAGCTATCTATTTTCTCCCATGTCTCTTTTTGTCCCACTCGCTTCTTTCAGCCTTGGTGGTCTCCTTCCTTTGATATCTGACTGTTCTGCTCCAGTGCATGGTCTACCCTAATGGAAGGTCTCTCTTCTACATGTTAGTCTGGTCACAGTAACTACCGGGCCGAGCTTATACGCCCCTAATTGCATACTATCTCCTGGGCCATCCCCAGCAGGAGGGTCGGTCATAAAGGCCACAAAGTGGCACAACATAGTGAGACCCATATGGATGATGTTCCTCCTCTATTCTGGACCCTCTGGCCCGGGGATGTATATTCTTGACTGTGCTCCGAGACTTTGGACCTTTTATGTTTGCATTACTGTTGTACAGCGACTTTGATTTTTGCTTTTGTATGTCAAGTTTTTACCTTTATGTCTCATGAAACCCTTAATAAAAACTTATTGAACTAAAATGGATGTTGTCAAACTTACTTAATATGTCACTGACTTTTGAAAATTAAAGACACACACATAAACTATAATCTACAGTTGATGCTACAATAGCCATCTACCTGGTAAAGGCTAACGCCATCCAATACAAATATTTCAGTTTTGAGTTGGCCCATGTAGGTTCAAACAACTTTTGTGGGTTTAAGTCGCAAAATTATCTGTAGTTTTATGTTTGTCCAAAACAACAAGGCCAGAAATGTCTCACTGTCTTGAAAAATAAATTCTTTGTTATTTGTTTAATCCATTTGCCACCAGGCAGAAACCTGGTGCAGCTATTTTGCCACTGTCCATCACTATTCCCTCTGCAAGCAGTGTACTGCAAATGAAAGGCAATGCTTCTATCAAGTTAAGTTTTCATCCAAGTACTCATACATTACCTGCCTATTCTTTTCCTGGGGTTAACATCTATTTTTTTGGTCTTGGCTATAGTTCTACTTTACAATTTTAAAGCTGCAAGAATGTTCTAATTTTCTGAATAGTGACTGCAGGAAAAAAATGCATGCTATATCTTTAATCACCTACTCTCTCCTAGCCTAATGACTGGACAATAATCAAGCAGCAGCACACTGGTGAGGTCATTCCCATGTTTTCTACTGTGTTTGCCAGTTAGTAAGATTTAAAAAGTCAGTTATTCATTTTTATTTATTTTATAACTAGATTAAATTATGGTTTTAAATGCCTGCATAGAGTGTTTTTGTGGCACAGCACGGCCCATTTAGAATGAACAGTGCTTTTTACTGGATTCCCCATGCAGGCAAATCAACATATTCATTTTGATGCCAGCCTATTAAACATGTTCTCTTTAGGAGATTTAAAAAAAGGATATAGTTATGTTTTGGATGGAGTTGGTTTTAACCAACACATTACTTTGGTTTCTACTTCCTTATACATAAGATTTTCTTCTCATAATTTGTGACAATACAGGTATTACATTACATTTTACATAATACAGGTATTTTATTGTCTTTGCCATGCTCATATTTGGTCACTTTATTATTATAAATGTGATCATTTACAACAAATAACATTTAGATATTTGAAAAAATGCTAACTCAGAAACAAAAATAAATCTGCTATTATTTCGATTACATTGTTGTTATTAAGACATTAACTGTTTGAATGTGAGCAGTAATTCTCAAAAGTAGACATGTTAATTTATAAAACAAATGTGTATTCTTAAACAACAGTATAGCACTAAATTCTAAAAATATAATAACTTTATATACATGCTAAAACTATGCTTGGGTCAATATTAAATGTGGATCATAATTATTTATGCTCTACTGAGTCTTAGATCTTTTTAAATGTATAGATATGTGACATTTACCTTATTAGCTAACAGTTGTGACTGTTTGCTGTCAAGAGAAACTTGACTTCTGGGCCCATCGTCTAATATGTTCTTAGGTACACAGTACACCATCCACAAACCATAGCTAAATAATGTTATCTAAGGTGATCGTGAATAATTGAAAATACTGCAAATTAAACATTTGCATCAATGTTAGCATGTGCATCTTGGCACATATTAACAATACATCCTCCTTCACATCTCTTTCCTGATTATTGTACACAGGAGGATAGGGTGGGCATGACTGAGATATAAATGTTTGTCTTTCTTAAGGAGCGAAACAGTCTTCTTTGCCGCTCAGACTGTGAAAGTAAAGAAGTGATGTGCAGAAAACTGCAGATCAGTAGATATGGTGAAAAAACTATAGTTTAGCAAATAAAACGGTCATTTCATAAGTCAGAAAATGTTTTGGTGACACTTGAAATAATCTACACACACCAGACAGACCAAAATATGCATCAAAGTGGTGACTTCCAACAGTAAACAATAGTAACCGCAATGGCAGCTGATTTGATGAACCGGAGCTCAGCAAACTTAACTTCGTATTAAATGGAGCTGGGCATGGTGGTACATAGGTGTTAGTTATCTGCATCCATGGGAGGAAGGAAGTTGGAGACACACAGTTAAACATACTTTGAGCACATAGAATTTCACAAATATTTACAATGGATATTCCAATTAAGGGTATTGTTATATGGTTACTTTTCTGCCATGTCCTGGCTGCTGGGAGACTTTATATTCTTGCTTCTCCAGCAATCATGTGCTTCAGCATTTTGTGAATTTGCTTGCATATCCTATGTTGCTCTGAACTCCCTCCCCCTCCCATCCTGTCCATTATCCTGTACCCTGCCTTCTCTGTTCATAGTCTTGTTGCCTACCCCCAATAATTACAAATCCTTCTCTGTTTCTATATATTTATCAGTGCACATATATTTGTTGTTGCCATTTGCTTTTTTCCTTTACACTTACAGTATCTATACAACTAGCATAAAAACACTTTAACATTTACTTATATGTTTACACAGAGTGCCTGCAGACATTTCCTAACATACCAGCACCAGAAAAGAAGAGGAGACCTGCCAAAGGAAATTATTTTGACCGTTCTGTATATACTGTATATCTGGATATATTTTGTTTTTGGGAGACAACTTTTTTTAATTTAAACTCACCTCCATGGTGCCAAAAAAACATAAAACCCATTCACATAGGAAGGGGTTGCCATATATTTGCTCCTTATGCAGGCAGGTAGGTGTCATACAAGTTATTCCATGCCACCATTTCTTGTAGATATGTGTGATTTGTTTCTTTCCGAATTGAAATGTGTACAAATTTGTACAAATACATGAGAGTATTACCTCAATGACATCAGAGTGTTAAAGAGATACAAACGAAAGAGAAGGAGGAGAAGCAGATACGAGGTCCAACAGTTTAAACGGACATCCAGAAATCAGAGGGCCGCGTAATTTGATACCATGGATGCAGCGGTAGCGTGACTCAGGCGGGGCGTTCCCTACCATTCGTGCCATGACGTAAACTGCAGGCACCTCCTCAATAGTCTCATGTTGTTAGGAAGCCAGACATAGGAGAAATAAGAAGGCACACGCCTAAAAACAGCTGTATGCAAAGGGGAGGTCCCGCTGAGCAGGGATGCATTACAAGGGGGTAGGGGGAGAAAAAAAATAAGAGCACAGATAAAGATACAAAAACAAGACCTGTGTAAAAGGAAAATATCAATATGAATATATACAAAAGGAATAAATACAGTAAAACGGTACATAGACATACTTAGTCATGTGGGAAGCAGAACTGTTAAAAGCAGAACTGTTGGAAAACATTATAAAGATAAATATTAGGGACCCCCTGGACACCATGCAGCAAGGGTGAACACAACACAACCATTGGATATGGTGTCAAAAAGGAGTCGACATGTTGTATAAAAAAAACATAATGTATGCATGTTCAAAACATTATAAACATGCAAAGGGGAAAGCATGTCACAATCAATCAGTTAAGAAACATGTCAAAGATAGCATAGTGTCCAATCCCTTGGGTTTCACAGTTCCAAGTGGGAAAGTCCTGTATGCCTGGGTGGTTTTTGTACCTGCTCTATGACCATTGCTCTAAGTTCATGGACTTGGTAGTTTGATTCTGCAAAATGAATAGCAACAGGCTTGTTATAATCAATTTCCTTTCCTAATCTCATAAGCTCTATGGCCGTCTTAATATCCCTCCTGTGCTTTTGATACCTTCTCTTGAAGGAATTAACAGTCTTACCGATGTAAACTAGAGCGCATGGACACTTGAGGAGATATATACAGCAATCCGTGTTGCAATTGCAATATCCCCTGATAGGGTATTTTTTTTA